GGGGGTGTTTTCGTTCAAGGCGTAGCTCTTTTCATTCATTAACGTCAAGTCAGGGTCCCGCTGTGCTTGGCTCGCCCGAGTCCCATCGCTGACGTGAACTTTGACAAGCAAGTCAAGCTTTTGGGATCTGCGTTGCGTTCAAATTTGCCAGCGCGCGAGGCCAGAGACATTTGGGGTCTGAACGCGGTTGGGTGAACCCCCACACCGAACCCCAAATCTTGAATTGAGCTACGCTGACTTTTCGGAGACGCGTTGTCGACCGCTTGTTTGCTCCTGATCAGCTGTAACGACTTGATGGCTGTCATTCTTGTTTCTTGGAACATGTTCCGCAAGTCCATGAATACGTTCCACAAGCAAGAATAGTTTGGGTTTTTTTTTTTGGGGGGGGGGGTGGAGGAAGAAGAGCCAACCTGAGATCCCTCACAGTGCGTGCGTGTCATCAGTAAATCTCGTTTTCCTCCCGAAATGCCAGAAGCAAAGAGGTCGTGACACCTTTCTGCCACTTGCAATCATCTGCTGATCTTTGAACTGGCGGGAAATGTCCTCCTCGTAGGGAGACAGTTCATCTTTCAATCGTATCTAAACCCCCCCCCCCGCATCCACACACGCACAAAATAGAGCATTATTTGCCGCCGCTTTTCCTGGTCTTGACAATGAGGAGACAGACCGCTGTGTGTCTTTGAATGGTTATTTTGAGTCGACGAGTGTTCCTACGTTAACGTTTCCCTTCGGCGGACCAAAGCGGTCGGTGGCTTGGCCCCGAGTAATCCCGCAAAATGGTTTGACGACGACCGCAAAAGGAGAAACTTTCTTTGTCATTTTTATTCGTTGTTTCAAACAAAAAAGGAAAAAACCCAACAAAACGATGATGTATGTAATGACGGGCAATACCGAATGGAATAGAGAAAAGATCGACAAGCTATTTTCAATGATTCCTATCAATAAATTCTATTTTGGAATGAGGTGATATGTTTTTTTTTTCCCTTCCTTTGTTTCTTCTTCTTCCCATAAATGAATTGCCAACTTGCCCAAAACCACATCAACCGCATTTAGGACGCCCCCCCGCCCAAAAAAAAACAAAAAAAAAACGCAGAAGTGCCTCATGGAACCTGGGAAACAATTCGTCCTTGACATCGTTTGCACAGAGCAACACAACATTTGGGTGGACTGTCACAACAGGACACATGGAAAAAGGCTCAAGGACCCGTGTCGGAAATTCGACCATCGGTCCGGCCTTTGACTTTGAGGCGGCCATTTTGGACCATTCGCACTCCAGGAGAACCGAAAGCAGAACCGTTTTGACACACAGATGATAAATGGACGTCTGCGGTCAGTCGCGCCACTCGCCAAGTTGACACCAGTTACGTCGCTTCAGCGCAAGTTGGGGTGGACGCGCCTGCCGCAACTTGACACGCAAAAGTCTGTGACATCGGCGCCAAATTGAAAAGGGACTTTGGACATTTTGCACTGAAGTTGCCGTATGCCGTGAATTCCGGGGGCAGACTTGGTCAACAACGTCTCACAAGGGGGCTCCACCCGCGTAACCCAGTCAGATGGCGCCTGTGAAATGGCTCCGCCTTTTTCGCCCTACGGTGTCTTTAGTGGACGGGGGTACGGTGTCGAGGTTTGATGAGCATTTCGAGGTTTCGCCACCAGACCGGGATCTTGATGTTGAGTTTGGGCGGCAGAAGACTTGGTACCAAAAAAAAAAAAAAAAAGAATCGGCAGAATTTGAACCTTCATGCCGTTTCCCCCAGAGGTGACGTCGGGATGGCGTCGACGTATCCGCCGTCGATGACGCGGGCTGCCCGAGGAGGGCGTGCGGGCGGCAGCTTCTTGCGGCGCTCCGACGGGACGCTCTCTTTGCGAAACGACAGCGTTTTGCCGTTCGCCGCCTCGCCGCGGTCCTCCGGGAGCCTCTCCGCTCTCGGAACGTCCGCGCTGTCGAGGAGGAAGATGTTGTCGGCCGTCACGTCCTTGACTCTGCTGTAGTCCGACTCGAGCGCCGCGCGCGTCTCAAAGTCGGCGTCGCCGCCGCGGGTTGACGAACGGCCGTCGCCGTCCTCCCGCGTCGCGTTGCGTTCCCCTCCGTTGTTCTTTTGCCGGTTGTCCCAGCCGAAGCCGGCGGAAACGGCCCCGCTCCTCGGCTGAACTCCGGCGTCGACGTCCGACACGATGAGGGGCTCGATCGCGCCGTCCTTCCGCGCCGCCGCGGGAGGGAAGTCCCGGCGGATGAGCAGCGCGCCGGCAAAGTCTTCCGGTCGAGCGCTCTGAAAGGAAACGGCGGCGTTGATTCGCTCGTGCATCGGGAGGAGGGGCGGGGCTCGATTCGGACACGCCACCTTGACAAGCTGGAAGTCGAGCCCTCGTATCTTCGGACCCGGAACGGGCGGGAGCAGAAACTGCATCACACTGAGGGAAAACCACCACCACCACCACCACCGCCGCCGCTTAGCGAATCTGTCGTCGCTTTTTTTCTGTCCTGCGCGAAAGGTACAAATGCGGGATGGGACGGCGGTGAAGTCACCCCGGGAATTGGCAGCATCCTCTCGGAGGCGGAATGCCGCCAGAGGATGCGACGCCGCCCGCTCCCCTCTTGCGCTGCGGCTCACGCTTGTCGCAGCTTCCGCTGATGTCATCGGCATCAACTACCAATTTCCATTGATCGCAAGCAATCGTTGGCCAAGTGCCCACGCGTCTCTTGATCGGACGGTAAAGAAGCTTTTCTGGCTATCTTTCGAAGTGACCTCTTATTGTCACGTTCCCGCGTCCATTCGGATAATCGGACGGAGGGTCCGGGACGGGGCGGCGTTGCGGTCGTGGCCTCTCGCTCGCCGCATGGCCTCCCAGGCGGTGTCGGAAGGCTTCCCTTCGACCGCCCCGCGCCGCATCTGTACCTGAGTCGCGGGACCGGGAGCCGGCAAAGACGCTTGAGAAGGGACGCACCTTTTCCTCTTTGTGACCGCCACGCAGACCGCCGCGAGAAACAAAAAGCCGGAGAGCCCCCAAAGCGACGTCCAAAAGGGTCCGTCCCTCCCGATGCCTGCGGGGACATCCGGTTAACGTCGGAGCGCGGTCTCGAGTCAAAGCAAAGACGGACTTGCGCACGCTCGGGGATCTCGGCGTAGGAGGCGTCGCTCCAGGAGCTCCAGGAGCCGTGGTCCAGTCGGCAGCGCACCTGCACCGCGAACGCCGCCCCGGGATGGACGCCGTAGAGCGTGAAGTGGGTTTGCGCGCCGGCCTTGTACTCCTCCAAAAGCAAACGACGATCCGGGAGGAGACAAAATGGTGCTCCAAATGAGACTTTCGCAGCAAAGAAAGAATCCACAGTGGCGGGCCAAACAAAACATTTTGCCCATGTTTCAGGGTTTTTTGGTTTTTTTTTGCCAGGGTGTTCCGCAGCATTTGGTACAGTGAAGAGATGTCCTGAGTTCCCGATGAGGAATCGGATCATATTATCAGACTAGACGAGACTAACGCTCTACGAGACAAAGACATGTTTGGAAGCAGACTAGTTTCAATGACATGACACGAAGGTTGACAAACTCCGCAAGCTCGACGGGACTCCTACTAGACGACAGCACGTAGGGCGGGCGTGTCCGGCTCCGGGCCCCGAGGGCCGCCGTCCTGCCCGTTTTCCATCTCTCCCGGCCGATTCAGGCGATCGGCTCATCAGCCAGCTCCGAAGCAGCATTAGTACGATCCCGATGATTGGAATCGGGTGCGTTCCGTCTGGGAGAGCTGCAAAACGGGCAGGACGGGACGGCGGCCCGCGAGGACCCACTTCGGACACCCCTGACGTAGGAGGTCTTGAAGTACGCGAAGCCGTGGAAGACGAGACGATACTATGAGACGAAGACCAACGAGACGGCGGTTGATTTGATGAACGCTGCACCAGATTCTTGGTTCGACTTGACCAAAAAAGACTGCACCCAAAGCTGAACCCAACCGGGAATTTGTTCCCTCTTTCGGTGGAGCTTTATGGCTCATGCTGTTGGCCGACATCCAATGCGGCGTTTCCCAACCGGGGAGCCGTGAGGACCCGGCAGGTATGCCACAGAAAGGTAGCCGGCCCGTTTCACTTAATTTGGGGACGCAGACTCGTTTACTGCATAAAAAAAAAAGCCAATCAGTTCATCTATCGATGCCAGCCAAGTATATTGACGGGCAGGACAGTGAAATGCTCCAAACCCAACTTGTCCCCTTTGGGTGATATTTTCCTTTTTGCGGTGTGCCGTGCGTTTTTTTTTTTTTTTTTTCCAATGCCAAATCGTCCGCCGGGTTGGCTCGAGACGGTTCGGAAACACCGAGCGAACGGCCGGCTTCCCGTTGCGCTTCGAGACCGTCACCTTCCAGTCGGCGGCGTCTCCCGCTTGTCGGCGTCGTCCGGCTCGGACCCGATATTCCGGCGTGACCCAGCCGGACCCGGCGTCCACGTTGGGGGGGTGCTCCCAGCTCACGTGCAGGCTCGGACTGTCCGTTCGGTCCTCCGCCGTCAGCGTGACGTGTTGGGGGGCGTCGGGCTTCACTGAAACGACGCGGCGGAACCGAGGAGCCGTTGTGTTGTCTGGCCGCGGGGTGTTGATTTTGGTTGGTGCTTCGAAAGCATCGCGAGAATCGATGGAATTCAAAGACGAGGGATTTGGGAATTCGATCCGCCGAACCGTAAGAAAATGATTTTGGATTTCAGATGGGCAACATGTTTCACACCCTGCAAAACGGAGCCGAATGAGGTTTGCCTGTCACGGCGCGCCAACCCTGAGCGGAATCGCCGGACGCCGAGACGAAGCGACGGCCGATAGAGAGCAAGGTGTGGGGCCGATTGTCAAGATACTCCTTCGGGATTACTTTCAAATAGCGCGGATGTTAAACTATTTGCAGATTTTCTTGGGACAAACATTTTCCAGATTGTTTCCTCACATTCACCAAGAATTCAAATGAGTGGATTGAGCTCATCCAGCCGATTCCTATTTTTTTTTTCCCAAGCTCACCAATTTCCATGACGTCGACCTTGAAGATGTCCGAAGTGGCATTCCCGAGGCTGTTGGAGGCCACCACCGTCAAGTAGTAGTCCACCCAAATGGAAGTGTGGCTTTTGTCAAAAAAGCAGCTGTTGCTGCCGGCTGAGCGGTAGTCCGGACACTCGTGCGTTCCCTCCAGTCTAGACGGGCGAAAATTTGAGCGTTGACAGAGTGCATGCATGGGGGGGGGCAGTATTGGAGTCACGAGTAAAACCCTGCCGTCATGAAAAAGACTCATTTATTTTGGAGTCGAAGCGAGCTGTGGATGATGAGCGCATTTTCGCTCGATTCGATTCTCGTTTGGTCACCTCGCCCATGGCCGCCTAGCTTGAGCTTTCTCATTTGCTTGTGTTAACACTGTGCCGGCGGGCTGGCCAAGGGACGCCACACCTTCCGAGCACAAAGATTACGGTGGCAAGTAGCGAGGCGCCCCCCTCCCCCGCCCCCCTTTAGGTTTGGGGTCCGCTGCCCTCTGACCGACCGTTCTCTCTGGTAGTACAGGCGGTGCGCGGTGGGGAGTCCTCCGTCGTCGCCCGGCTCCCAGCGGCAGGTGAACGTCTCCTTCTCGGGCGAGCGGCAGCCGAGCAGGACCGGCCTCCCCGGCGGCGACCTGTCTGCAAAACAAGCGGACCGCAAACGTGACGCTCACTTTTCCCACCGTTCACGTCCCCCGAAAACCACCCCCGCCGTCCGCTTGAGGGGGGTGCGTGGGTGCGCACGAGACTGGAGATACGTTTTCCACATGTGGGCCGACCGTTTGAATACATTTGGAGAAGACGGCGGACGCTTGAACCGGATCATCTGCTTCCTCAAGTCGAATGTTTTCCGTGAGCAGGAAAAAAAAAAAGTCTCCCCTGTCAGGGGTCCCTCGGAAGAAGGAGGCCGTGATCAACGCCGACAAACCGACCGTTGCAATGGGCAGCCGAAAGCAGCAACAGTGCGATGGTGGCCGCGCACGTGTCCCTCTTCATCCTGTCGCCTGCTGGCACACACAAAAAAGAAAAAAGAAACCGTGTGGTTCACATAACAACATGCGGCGTGGCTTGTTGGGCTGTTTAGAGCACAAACAACATTTGAGAGGTGCGAAGGGCAAACGGGCGCCGTTGTTTTGGACATTGCAGCACAGGTGACAAAAGCACTCACGGGCCCGAATTAATTCATTGTTTTGAGCGAAGAATCGCTAGCGTTCAATTTTAATCTGAAAAAAAGTGGCACATTTGTATTTTTTCGGAATTTTCACAAGGTATTGTCACTATTTTTTTATATCAAGCGACCTGATTAAACCTGAAATGTATTTCAATTGAAAGAATTCCTTTTTGAATGTATCTTTTTTTTAAAAACATGACGTTCTTTAGACTATTTTGGCTTGTGATGCCAGCGTCTTCAAATGATTTTAATCTCATCTCACTGCACTCTCTCAAGAAGAGAATGATTTCCTGATTGATTGATAGGTTGGGAACCCCCCACCCGCAATGGGCAGCCGAAAGCAGCAACAGTGCGATGGTGGCCGCGCACGTGTCCCTCTTCATCCTGTCGCCTGCTGGCACACACAAAAAAGAAAAAAGAAACCGTGTGGTTCACATAACAACATGCGGCGTGGCTTGTTGGGCTGTTTAGAGCACAAACAACATTTGAGAGGTGCGAAGGGCAAACGGGCGCCGTTGTTTTGGACATTGCAGCACAGGTGACAAAAGCACTCACGGGCCCGAATTAATTCATTGTTTTGAGCGAAGAATCGCTAGCGTTCAATTTTAATCTGAAAAAAAGTGGCACATTTGTATTTTTTCGGAATTTTCACAAGGTATTGTCACTATTTTTTTATATCAAGCGACCTGATTAAACCTGAAATGTATTTCAATTGAAAGAATTCCTTTTTGAATGTATCTTTTTTTTAAAAACATGACGTTCTTTAGACTATTTTGGCTTGTGATGCCAGCGTCTTCAAATGATTTTAATCTCATCTCACTGCACTCTCTCAAGAAGAGAATGATTTCCTGATTGATTGATAGGTTGGGAACCCCCCCCCCCCCACCCCAAGAAATACAGCTATCTATTTTCAAATGTAGGGAGTGAAAAGAAGTCCTCCGAAAACGAAATCGAGTACTCACGACGACGAAGACGACGACCAAGACTTGGCAGCAACCGACAGACAGACGCTCGCTCACGCCAAAGCGCGCGCGGATGCGAGCGGACCTCTCGCGCGTTCTCGTCACGCGCGCTCCTTTCTCTTTCTCTCTCTCTCTTTGGCGCACGTTGCCGCCCCCTCCCGCCCACACTCACAACTGCACTGAAATGCTCTCGTTGCCGCGACGGGGACGGTTCTTCCCTCCGGCCGTGCTGCCAAAGCCCTCTCGAAGAAACTTCCAAAAGGATTTTCCACGCCGTTCAACTGCTCCTTCGCATTCTTGAAACGCTTGCGTCCCGCGAAAACGCTCTCACGAGCGCACGCCTGAAATGCTTTCACGCGCGATAAACGCTGTCGCCCTTGAAATGTTCGTAGACGCTCTCTTCAGATCTCTCACCGCCATCATCATCCGACACTCTGTGTCTGGATCAATGTGTTTCTTTTTCATATAGAAATATGATGTCATGTCTGTTTGTCTTTTCATTTTCAACGTTAAATGTTTAGGTGAAGAGGAATTCGACTTAATAATGCGACTGTTGGGGGCTTGTTTGGTTTTGTGCTTTGACATGGAAAATATAAATGGCGTCATGTGGAACTAGCACTCTTGTCGTGGTCATCTGCTTCTCTGCGGACTGTTTGTCATTTTCCCGCTCGTTTTTTAAGTGGTGCAGCGCACTAAAGGGTCCGACTACAATGTGAAGCCACGCACTTTAGTTCCAGCTTTCGCGTCGGCGACTCGGCGCTACTGCGTAATCTACGTTCA